AGAGATAAACCAAGTAAATAACAATAAAGGATGCTATCTCTACCAGAACGTGGTATACAAGTAATGCGCCATAATATTACTTTAACACCCTCCCTAGTCCCTTAATCTAAACTTCTCAAGTTAAGATTATGCTTGAATTCCTCAAACGGTCTTGTGACCAAGGCTTTTGTGAAGCCGTCATCAACCTGATCTTTTGAATGAACAAACCGAATCTGCAACTCCTTGTTAGAACTCTTTCCCTCATAAAATGATAGTCAATCTCTATGTGTTTGGTTCTTGCATGAAAAATGGGATTAGCAGATAGGTATGTAGCACCAAGATTGTCACACCAAAGGCATGAGGTTGGTGTGTGACATATGCCAAGTTCCTTAAGCATGGACTTGACCCATATAATCTCTGATGTTGCATTTGCCAATGCTTTGTATTCTGCCTCAGTACCAGACCTCGAAACTGTGGCATGTTTCTTTGCACACCATGAGATTAAATTAGGTCAAAAGAAAACTGCATCCACGTGTTGACCTTATGTCATCTATGCAACCTGCCCAGTCAGAATTAGAAAAAGCACTAACAAGTGTGGATGATGACTTGCTGAAGGTTAGGCCAACACTCTAAGCATTTCTCACATATCTCAGTATGTGTTTGGCTGTAGTCCAATGAGTTGTGGTTGGTGCATGAAGAAACTGGCAAACCTTATTTAACAACAAAGGAAATGTTAGGCCTGGTGAGAGTCAAATACTGAAGTGCACCCACCAAACTCCTGTATTTAGTGCCATCCTCTTGACTCAAGAGTTCTCCTTCAGCAGGAGAGAGTTTTCTAAACTGTACAATGGTGTTGGTGATAGTTCACAACCCTGCAATCCAACTCTATTCAACAAATCAGTTGCATATTTTCCTTGAGAAAGATGAAGACCACCTTCCCTGTTTTTCTTAACTTCAATGCCAAGGAAGTAATGCAAGTCACCTATCCTTGAGAGCAAATTCTGAATTCAAATCCTTTAACAATGCAATCTTTGATGAGCTTGTGACAATGATATCATCAACATATATAAGCACAAATATGGATGTTTTGATATTGTTGTAAATAAAAAGTGATGTGTCAGATTTAGAAGGAACAAAACCAAGTGTTTGTAATTTGGAACTTAGACGTGAGTACCATGCTCTGGGGGCCTGTTTCAACCCATAGAGAGATTTATCAAGCCTGCACACATGAAAAAGTTTGTTTTTATCTTCAAACTCAGGAGGTTGTTTCATATACACTTCCTCTTCTAGAACACCATGAAGAAACGCATTATGCACATCTAGCTGTCTGAGACTCCATCCTCTAAATATGACAATAGACAAAACAATACGAATACTGGCAGCTTTAACAATAGGACTGAATGTATCCTCATAATCTATGCCATACCTCTGTTTGAATCCTTTAGCAACAAGCCTAGCCTTGTAATGATCTATTGTACCATCTGACTTTCACTTAATCCTGAACACCCATTTGCAATCAATTAATTTTTTTACCTTGGTGTGAAGGAACTAGATGCCATGTCTTGTTTTTCTGAAGTGCTTGGAACTCATCTTCCATAGCCTTCCTCCACTTGGGATCCACACTTGCTTCTAGAAAGGTGCTAGGTTCTCTTTTTGAACATGCCAAACCAAAATTAATTTTATAATTCACAGGTTGAATTACCCATGCTCGAAGTCTTGTACGTGGCGGTGTAGTGTGTTGTTGAATTGTTGTTGACGATCCAGGCACAGGCATAGAAGATCCCGTAGACTATTCCTGGACAGAGGATCCAGACAATCCCGAGACTGCTGTTGTGACACTTGTCGCCGTTGGATCTTCTATGGCCATGTGTTCGGGTGAAACTTCAGTGAATGGTGCAGAAAATCCAGGCGAGCCAACCGAATCAGGCTTGGATCCCGCGCTCGCAACGGGCTGGTGCGCCGCCCGTCTGACGTAGACCGTGGGGCCAGGCAAAACCGCGTAGTTAGCCAGTCCCCTGATGGTGACGCCCTCATGTGGGAGGATGGGCCCCCAGGCAAGCACGTGTCGGGCGGGGGTTGGCAAGCCGCCGCGCCTGGCGTATATTCGGTGCTGCATCACTCCGATCCTGGAGTGGACCGTGCCTACGCTGACATTGCCGATCCCGAGACAGATTCGAGGCCATCTCTGTGTCGGTGCAATAAACCTTGGGTCCATGGTACAGACTGTGCACATATCCAAGGGCAAGATTACAGCACCAAGATCAGACCAAGCAAGAGGGATCAATTCTTTGAAGGATCCAAGTACAGACCAAAGAAGAACAAGATGAGCTAGAGAAGCCAGATGTCACTAAGGAAAGAACCTCCCTTGCCGGGCAGGCGAGCCTGGCAAGGTTGGGTTTGCCCCGGAATCAAACTTCCAGATCGTCCCAGAAGGCCTGCCGGGAGCTTGCGGAGGCAAGCCACTCCACCGCTCCACCTCACAAGTGACGCAAGTCATAGATCAGTGCGGTGTCAAGCCCCAAGGTGACTAAGTGGCTGCTTTTTGCCACATGGCAACCACTTCCTACATCAAACACCTCCATATGACACCCGTCCTGAGATGTGTCAAGCAAGCAGGCGCGAAGCTGGCAAAACAGCCCGACAAGGGTTGCCGGGCATGCTATGACGTGACACTCGACGACTCATTTATTGTGCTCTGTCAGCCTGCAGAGTTAGGTATGATAGCACTATTTGCCCTCTCTCCTCTCTGAAGGGCACAACCACAGTGGTGGCGCATGTTCTGAGGCAAATAGCAACCCTCCGGCCACCCCCGCTGCGGGTGCGACCACAGGGCACGCACCACCCCCGGAACGGGCTGACCCAGCTACTGTGCCCAATGGAGCCGCTGGCCCTCAAGCGCCTCCACCGCATCACCATGCCATCCAAGCGCCCGCTTCGCAACAACAAGGGCACGACGCGGTTGCCACCGACACCATTAGGAGCCGAGCGACATTGCGGTCTACATCATCATCACCTATGCCAAGCACTGCCTCTAAGGCCATGGTGTGGGCCCAGCTGCTGTTGAGATTTACGTTGGCAGCCGATCAGATGGATGAGTGGCGAGCCACCATCCAAAGCCTAATTGGTTTCGCCGAGGCGGGAGGATCACAGCGAGCTGGCTCGCCGCCGCCTCCCCAGGCGACGACAATGTCTCATTGTGACACTCCAAAATTTTTATTTTTTGGTTTTCAGCAAAACCTT